GGTTTTTGAAATAGGTGTTGATGATCTTCTGTATTTCTGTGGAGTCTGTAGTGATTTCACCTTTTTCATTTCTTATTGCATGAATTTGAGCTTTTTCTTCCCTTTTTTTAATAAAGTGGGCTAGGGGCTTATCGATTTTATTTATTCTTTCAAAGAACCAACTTTTTGATTCGTTGATTTTTTGGATTGTTTTCTTAGTTTCTGTTACACTGATTTCTGCTCTGATTTTTATAATTTCCTCTCTTCTTTTGGCTTTGGGCTTGACTTGCTCTTCTTTTTCTAGCTGTTTGAGGTGTAGCATCAGGTTAGTTATTTGTAGTCATTCTGTTTTCCTGATGTGGGAACTCAGTGCAATAAATTTTCCTCTGAGGACGGCTTTCATTGCATCCCACAGATTCCAGTAAGTTGTATCTGTATTTTCATTTTCTTGTACGTATTGTTTAATTTCTTCTTTAATTTCCTCTGTGACCCACTGATTACTCAAGAGTGTGTTATTCAGTTTCCATGTGTTTGTGGGATTTTTGCAGTATCTTTTATCATTAATTTCTAATTTCAATGTGCTGATTGTTTCTTATATTGCTCATCTAGGGATTCTATCTTTTTGTTTAGTTCCTCCAATTTTTTAACTGTGTTTTCTTTAGATATATTCAGCATCTCTTTCATTTCCTTTATCATTTCTTCTTTTACCTGGGAGATTATTTCGAGTTTGAATTCCTTTAAAGCTTCCCAGAGTTGCTTATTTATTTCAGTAGCTATTATGTCCGATATTTGAGGTGTATGGTATATATTTTCTTCTATACACATCGTTCCTAGGGTTTCTTGAAATGGGCTGGCGGTTTGAGGTTGTAATTTGGTCTTTCGTTTTGTCATTTTCCTATGTTTCTGTGTTTCAAGTGTTATTCGAAAGCTTCCTCAGGGTCTGTTGGAAATCCACTTTTATGTTCGCAGCTCCTGGGACTCTGGCACCCAGTTCCCCCAGGCCACTGGGCCTCTGGAACCCATGGGGCTCTTCTGCCTTCTTAGAACTCCGCAGACCCAGATAGTCTGGGCTCCGGGGACAGGGTGCGCCCGCCTGCTTGCTTGAAACTCCACAGTCCTCTGAGTGCAGCCGGAATGGGGAGTTACATATACTTTCAATGAAAGTTTTAATCGCTTAAATTTCTGTTTAGGATTCCATTTCTTTCCTATATTGGGCACTTTTTTGTTTCCATCATCTATTCTTTTATCCGTACCTGCTCTAATATTTTTTAAGTATCATTCCTTTTTATACCTGAGAGATTATTTTCTCTATAGCCTCTTTCACTTGTTTTTTTTTTTTTTTTTCCTTCTGTTGCTGTCATTTCGGGAAGTACCAGTGTTTGACTTCCAATTTCATCTATCTCATTGTGCTTCAAGATTGTTCTGGGTGGGCTGGGGGTCTGAAGTTACATTTTGCTTCTGCATCTTGTCATTTTCTATATTCTTCTTTTTCACTTTGTTTTTTTATATTGATGTTTACCAATTTCTTATTAGCTTTATTACTAGCATTGAAGCTTCCCTAGGAGATGTCTATTCTTCAGGAATGTCCTCTAGATGTATGTGGTTCTTTATAGCTATCCCAAGAACCTACCTTCTCTATTTGTAAAGGATGCAAAGTTACTATTTGGCTCAACACCCAGTCCTTTGGTACTGACTGTGATGATGATTATGATTTACAGTACAAGGGAGAAAAACTGATTATAGCAAGTATGACATCATGCCTAAAGTAGTAATAATAGTTTCAATTACAGCTTAACTATCGACAAACCATGGTAACCATTAATCTGCTACCTCCAAACACAGGAACAAACTCTAAAGTTATACATGATGGGTGAGTCAAACATAGTAGAATTAAGGCTGGAGGTCAGAGTGTGATCACCCGAGTTTGGAAAACTGGAGGACAAAGGAGGGATAGAATGAAACAGAATATGAAGGAGCAATCAGGAAGGGAAGGGACAATGTTTCCTCACTTGAAAGTTTAAATTCAAGAAGTATTTGAGGAATGAGAAAAAGATCAGTAGAAAGAAACAAAACAAAAAAGGTAAGAAACCTAAACAGTGAAAAGAACAAAAAAGAAAAGCAAAAGAGGGGGGGAAATGGAGGCCAGAAAAAAGGGGAAAAAACACAAAGACAAAAATAACCACAAAATATAACCAGACAAGGAAAAGTCAATCTGACAAACAAGCGAGACTAAAAATAGTAAAATACCTCTGATGTTTACAGTTCTGTGATGGTGTTCACATTAGATCCCAGAAATGCACTGTGTCCTCCAGCCAAGTTTGCCTTGGAAATTGTGCTGATATGGAGCTGATCGTGGCCTCTGGGTGTGGGGCTGGAATTGCTCTTCTGTTGGTGGGGTTCTCAGAACCCACTGCTGGCTGCTGGCTCCTCGCTGCTGCTGCAGACGCTTCCATGTTGCTAGTCCCACTGACCGTGCCACCCACCAAAAGCACGTGTGCACCATGCACCACAGGCCTCCTGGCCTGGACGTATCTGGTAGTGGTCTCTTGCCACTTTCTGAAGCAGTTGCAGAAGTTGTCTTTTGTGTCTTTTGGTGCAGGCTGTCTTGATGTCATGAACTGATTCAAAATGTTTACCTTTCATGGTCATTTTGACCTCAAGGAAGAGCCAGGAGATACGTGGTGCCAGATCTGGTGAAAAAAGTGGATGAGAACACAGAATCACTTTTTATAAGCCCAATTTCCTATTGTGTGGCACTCTGCACTGGCATTTAGTGTATTTTTTAATGATACATTATAAAGGCATAAAATAAGGTGTTCCACCACTGCTGTAGAAAGTAGCATAAACAATAGGCTAAGTATGTTCAAAGCAAGGGGAAATGTTTTGAGGGGGGTTAATGGCAATGTCTTTTACTAATTTTAATTTTTATAAATTAAAATTTTCACCATATATTTTGATTATACTTCAGTAGATGTTGACTTACAAACTCAATTTATTCTAAACAGCTGGTTGTAACTCAAGTTGGTTATAAGTCATTACTATTTTTCTTATAAGAAATAATGAAATATCCATAATCTGTTTTGAACCTCCCAAAGCACCCCTTAACTAACCTTTTTATAATAAAAAGGGGTTATATAATGTGCATAATTTGTCAGAAACACCAATAATTTTCCTCATATATTCACCAAAAGTTATAAAATGTGCTAGTTTACCATAAACAATTTCCTTTGTACTCACCAGTCAGGTTGACATCTGTGGCTTGCAAGAAGGGAGAATAAAATGGAAAGTGGTTTACTATTCAGGAGATTCCTCTCCCTCGAGAACATCAGGTATCTGGTTCTGCTGTCCTTTCTCTCCTTGGGAGAGTCCATAGCCCATTAGGACCTGCTTCTAGCTCAGTAGGTCTCAGTCTTTTCAGAACTAAAAACTAGTTTAAGGTTGCCAGTTTCTGTCTTTAACACTGTTCTATAACATGACACTGTCATTAAGCAAGTGAATGCGACAATTTTTTCTCTATCTGGATGGGTCTTCTCTACAAATGTTTGTACAACTTTTTCAGGATTTACTTCATTTCAAAAGAAAAATTTAGTTGCGCTGATTGTTCATACTTCCCTCCCTCCTCTCCAGAAAGCTCCTCGGTTGCCATTCTCTCTTGTTCAGCCGGAAGTGGCTGAGGTTCCTCTGTAGACACTTCCTCTGAGTATTCATCTACCAGTTTCTCAATATCACGTCCACCTGAGAACCTATGAACTCTGTATAGTGACAGTGCCAGCGACCACAAAGTCGACTGAGGGCTTGGCTCCTCGATGCAGCCCTCATCGTCTCTTTCCTGTATAATTTTAGGCCATATTTTCTTTAGGCAGATCTCAGTGTCCTTAGAGAGACATTGGCCTAGAATTTCTCAACCCTGTGTAACACTAATCTGTGTTACACTAATCTGTGTAACACCTTTAGCAACATTAGCTTCCTTATACAAATCTTTTCAACATACTGTTGAGATGGTGGATTTCAACTTGCTGTACATATTAGCAAGATGGGTCACACAAATGCTACTCTCATATTTCTCCAAAATTTCCTCCTCCTTTTCAATTGTGACTGCTTTCTTACCTCTCCTTCCCACCGTAGCTTCTTTTCCAGCTTTTGGCAAGCCATTTTGATAGCAGTAATCATTGTGCTTATATAAAACACTGACTGAAATCACATCCAGAAACATATGCGTCTGGGCTCAGACTGACACTTACATATGCCTACATAAACTTTTCTGGCATGGCAAGTCTTTGTTAAAAACCACACAAGTGGCCAGCATTTGGGTCATAACTCAAGACTTTGGTCTGACGTTAAATCTAAAATTGCAATCTTAACCCAAATTGTTCATATGCAAAGACAGTCATAACTCAAGGGACCACTGTACATATGTCTATACCCAATATGCTTCATGAAGGACATGTACAAAAATACTCATTGAAGTATATCAATAATAGTTATAAAAACTATAAAGAAACCAGTCATTAAATGTAGATGAAATTTTAAACTATGATATATTGACAAAGTGCCGCACATCAATGAAAATGAACAACTTCAGTACATGCCTCATACTCAGTAAGAAAACAAGCCAGATGCAAAAATGAACATGAGCCAGTGTTAGTGGCACATACCTATAACCCCAGCACTCAGGAGGCTGAGGCTGAAGCAGGAGGATCATGAACTCAAGGCCGTCTGGGCTACAAAGTGAGAATCTATTTTAAAAAAAAAAAAAAATAGACAAAAAATAAAGCTTGTGTAATTCCAAAAGCAGGCATAAACTAGACAGAGTTGAAAGTTCTATTTTGAAAGCAGTCATGAATGGAGAGGAGAAAACATGCTAGGGAGTATATTTAAATGATCAAAAGATGAGGAAAATAATCAATCAGAGGGCCTCCACCAAGACTCTGCAGAAGGATCCTGGCCCCAGATGGCCCGAATATTTCAGCCTCCACCTCTGACTGGGCTACCATGATACATATTCCTTTTCCTGTTTGCAGTGCAATGGGCCTTGCATGGGGCCCCACATGGCCGTGCAGCATAGACAGGTCTTCTGCCAGACCCGGGACGGCATCACCTTACCATCAGAGCAGTGCAGTGCCCTCCCCAGGTAAGATAAAGCCCTGGACCTCCTTCCTGAGTCACAGGAAAATGGTGGTAACAGAATCTTACACCTCCGACTTCCCAGAATCTTAGGGATTAGAGGCCCTGTTCATTTACCTCCATCACTCCATGTAACTCCCCCACCCCTCCAGAGAAATGTGCTTGCTGAATGGGCCAGGCTGGGTTTTCTTCTGGTGGGGTGAAGCAAACAGGAAGACAGTTCCTCTGATGGAGGCTGGATACCATGAGAAATCTGCACGAGTCCCAAGGTGAGGTCCAATGACCACAAACACTCTACCAGCACCTTACATTTGTTGACCTGTCTTTACAAGGATGCAGTGAGTGGCCTTGTCTCTGGATTTCTACTTTTCATCCCTATCCAGCCCCTATCCCTTATCATGGCTTCTTGTAGATGTGCCCCTGAGAGGAGAGTTCATGACTCCCCCCACCAAAAAAATTAAGACCCCAGTTCCTGAGACTGGCTGCCAAGTTCTGATTCTGCCATCTCCAACCTAGTACACTCCTTTGTCAGCCACCCAGTGATAATAGACTTTGTAAAGAAGAGTTGACAGAGACCCTATGAGGGGGAAGTAGCCATTCTGGAACACAGATCAGAACCTTGGTCTGATGACACTGAACACTCTTGCTAAGTTACCTGACATTCCCAGATTTGTAGCATTACTTTCACATCTCTCCAAGGTGTGATCCCCACAGATACAAACTTTAACCCTTCCCTCCTCCACCTGCAGGCCCGTGAGCTCTCAGAACTGCTGGTCAGAAGCCTGCAGTGTACACTGGAGGGTTAGCCTGTGGACCCTGTGCACGGCGACCTGCGGCAACTATGGCTTCCAGTCCCGGCGGGTGGAGTGTGTGCACGCCCACACCAACAAGGCTGTGTCTGACCACCTGTGTGCCTGGGGGGCCCGGCCTGCCAACTGGCAACGCTGCAACATCACCCCGTGTGAAAACAGTATGTTCCAACCCCAAAGGACATTCTGCAAATTCCCCACAGGGCACCGGGTGCAGAGGGAAGTCCCTGGGACTGAGCCTGCACACAGGCCATTGGATTGGGTTTCCCAAGGATTGTGAGCTGGGGCCAGAGTTGAGCATTTTTCATTGGGGCGCATGGGTATGCACAAGGATGTGTGTCTACATGCGTGACTGCAAAAGATGGCAGGGTGTGCCCCACAGGCTTCCACGTTCTCCACTGTGACCCAGACAGAGCCAGGTGCTGAATGAAACTCGCCTCCAGCTCGGCTGCAGTCAGACTGGCTGGTGCCTAGAGATGACTAACCAATAGCTCTCCGGCGCCAGTCCACTAAGGAGAAAGCACTGTTCACAGTGAAGGAGTGCGGAGGGCCTCCTGCCCAGCCAGCTCTGCACCCACCATTGCTCTGCTGCTCACTGAATGAGGACCTGCTGATCACCTCCCTCCTCCCCAGCCCCTGAGCGGCCTTGGAACTGAACAGGAATCCACGCCTCATTTCATTCCCTTCTCCCTTAAGTCCGGAGCTTCCTCAGCCAAACACCAGCATTTGTATTCCAGCTGGGTAGGGAACTAACGTTTCTTTCTCTGAACCCAAAGCCCAAAATGGAGGTATTTCTCCTCTAGGAAAAAAAAAAAATCTTGAAACAAAGAATAAAAAACAAACACAGGAGCACAGTTTTCAACCAAACTGAGCTTCACTAAGCAACAGATTCTCAACACTACCACAGATGCCCTGCGGGCATATAGCCCGCCCCTTTGGTTCATGAAGAATGGATGATCTTTGTACTCTGTGCCATAGTGACCCCCTATTCATGTCAATGGCTCATCACCTGAGGGACCAGTGTGCAGTGTAAACAGGCAGGACTTACCTAGTCAAATCAGCACCAGTGTGTAAGAGCTATGTGGTCTGCGTCACAACTGACCTGGAGCATCATGTTTGGAGCCTGGTGGGCAGAAGGAGTAGAAAGGCTTAAGTGGCAAATAAAGAAAACAAAGTTTACAGAGAAAGGAAAGTTCCTGGGGAGGAGGGCCGGCAGCGAGGCCCACATTGCATACCCGCTCATGGTGGGGCAGAATGCAGCCCGCCTGGGAACCATCTCAAGGAAGAGCAACCCTGAATACCAAAAGCCAGAAAAGGCAAGGGAAGAGATCAGAGTGTGAGGGGGTAGTGAGGAGAGGACAAGCACTGTCAGGAAGGGAAGGCCACTGTCAGACAAAAACACAGAGCACCCTAGATGGGCCCTGTTGTCCAGCCAGACAACCGCGGTCTGGTGCTGTTCCTACGGCTGGCAGCCTGTGGGGCAAATAGCCAGGTTCAGCCAAAGTGAGGACTGCCCAGCGGGCCCAGGGCATGGTGGCCGGGGCAGCCTAGTGCCCAGGCTGAAGAGCAGCAGCCACCTCACTAGCCTGTGTTTCACATCTCCTTTCTGTCCCCTTCCCCGCTCTCCTCCTTTCCCAGGGGAGTGCAGAGACACCACCAGGTACTGCGAGAAGGTGAAACAGCTGAACCTCTGCCAGCTCAGCCAGTTCAAACTGCGCTGCTGTGGAACGTGTGGCAAAGCATGAAGAGAGGGCACGAGAAAGAACCCTTCCCCGACTGCACAAAGGACTCGCAGCCACCTCCTCCACCACCTCGGACAGAACCTCCACTTCACGTATTTGGCCTGCCCACCCTCCCACATCCCCACCTCCACTGCTAAGGGCCGCAGCAGCTTTTCTTTCCCAGTGAGCTGGAGGACTGATGTGTCAGGGGATCCCGGGGCAGACGGCCCAGCTCCCTTGCAGAGCTAACTTCCTCTCATCCGAGCTGGCTCTCTGAAAGGACAGGCCAGGCCGAGGAAGAGGGAGCCACAGCTCCCGCGGACAGGAGGATCCCTGAGGGCTTGGGAAGTATTGATGCAAAGCTCAAACGCACCTGCATCTTTCTTGGAAGCTGCTAATGCAAGTGTTGTTCCCTTGTCTTCTCCTCGGCTCCCCTGATGATAAGGACAGGGGGACTGTGGTCCAGCACTTCAGTTCCTCTGGTGGGAAACAGAGAAGAGCGCTCAGACACAGAGATGTAGCAGTAAAGGGGGAGACGATCAAAGGAGGCCGAAGGCACACAGAAATGCAGAAAAGTACAGAAAGGGAAAGGAGAGAAGTGGGAAAAGCCTGTGTAACTCAGTGGGGAGGAGCAAGGAGACAGAAGGGGCTTTGGGGCAGTGCAGGAGTCTCATGAGATGGGCTCTGAATCCTGGTGCATGCATGCACCTCCATGGGTTCGGGGAAGGTTCAGGGATGTTTAGAGTGCTGCTGCCCTTTCAGAGTCCCCACTGACCAGGTAGGAGACCTGCCCCTCCAGGAATGAGGGAAGAGTCCCTGCTCCCTGCTGAGTAAACTTTCTACCTGTGCAGCGATGGCAAAGCCAGCAGGTGGTCAGCATTCAAGCATGCAGCAAAGCTGCTTCTGATGTCTCCTTGCTTAAGTCGAGTCCCCAGCTCTGAACTAACTGCTGCTGTTGGCCAGGGACACTCCTGAGCATGCACAGGCTTCCTCCCTGACATAGCCTTTGCTGGGGACTCGGGCCTGTTGGTCAAAATCAATTTGCCAGAGAATATCTATCTGTCTGAAGTAACCACTTCCTCCAGAGCTGGCCAGTGGGACAGTGGGGTGGGATACTCACTGGGTTGGTGCACGCCAATGGCACAGCCTGCCTGTCCCAGCCACCACTTCTAGGGTCTGCAGGCCCCACATGGAGTACTGTGAGAGCTGCTGTACATAGTATTTATGTGGCAGATCAGGGGAGATGATGAGGAGCAAAGCCAAAGGGTAAAGACTTCTGGTCAGTCCTCAAAAGCTTTCCAACCCATCCCCTCACACAATGAAATACCATAACCCTTATAGTAATTAACAGACCACAGTTTTGGTGATTCAGCTGCTCAGCAGGCAAAGCAGTGTACACACTTGTGCAGCACACACCAGCTTTGGTGAGACACTACAGCAAAGGCAAGAGGCAAAGCAAACACTGGGCAACTGTGCAGTGAATTGCTCGTGCAGCAGAGGGCAACTACGGGCAAATAGCTTTTACCTCGTCCCACTGAGTGGCCCATTTAGCAAGGGGGCAGCCAGAGTCATCTACCCCCCCAATAAGCCATCCCTCATACACACATTCAAGAAACGCCACTTACCCAAGGCCATCATTGACATGAGGGCTGCATTTTCCAGCCAGCCTAGAAGTGAGATTTGGGCGGAAATAATATTAATCTGTCTTTTCTAGTTGAGCAACAGATAGAGTCTCTTTCTTCCTCACCACAAAACGAGACTTTAAGAAATCATATTACTAAAAATCAGTGTAATGTTTATTTAAAATAAAAGAGAATGTTTTCTATGTATATCTTTTGTGAATATTTATTAGGATTTCTTGTATAAAAAGTGCAATATTAATAATTGTACATTGTCATCCTAAAAAAATATTGGGGGGATTTTTTTAATTAACTTCCTGAAGCTGTGTTTTGTAAACTCAGTGCTGATTATTATATTTTTCCTGTCTTTAATAGAGGCTGGTGTTTAACTCTGGATCCATTTTTCACTGTGTACAGAATATATTGTCAAAGCTAATATGGGACACTAGAGGTGATTCGTTTGTGATGCAATATTATGCACAGAAGAATGAAGATAAATTCCACACTGTTAATGCAATTGATCATTTCTAGCTCAATGGCTATTGAAAATCTGCAGTAAATATTTACATTTTCTGAAAAGCAGGCATCTTCCAGCTTTACCAGCCATCGGGGTATAGAGCTGGGGTGTAGAGCAAGCCGAGAGCCTAGGTTTGGGGTGAAAAGCATGTGCTCCTTGCATGAGATGAATGTACATTTAATGTTTGTTCTGTGAATTGTGACTCAGCAGTACCACTGCTTGTGAGGGCTGCTGACTAATGTGGAAGGAGGTACTTCTTCCTCTAAAACACAAAACTGTTATTTATATTTTTTGTACAGATAATACAGCTTATTTATTTAAATCTTGTTGTCTGAGTCTCAGTTAAGTTCAGCTTTCCCATCATGTTTTGAACAAGGGAGGAGAAAAGTTCCTGTTGGTTAGATGGTGCCAAGCCGGCTATGTGCATCTGAATGACACAGAAGAATTGCAGTCTGGGGCTCTGTGTGGGAAGCAGAGCCTGCTGTCTGAAGGAACCCAGGAAAGTGCATTTGTAGATGTGTGTGTGTATATAGGATGAGCGCTGCCACAGGAGATGACCAATCATTTAGAAATCTATGTAGTAGGAAGATGAGATTCACAGTATCTTCCAGAAAAAATCTAAGCAAGGGCATCTTAGATAGATGAGAAGTGGGATGTGGGAGTGCCCTCTTTCCAGGCCAGCCTCACTGCCAGTACACAGTAAGAGCTGCATGGTGAAAGTGTGGCTATTAATGTACACTGACCTTTATAGATCACTATTCAGCCTTCACATGAGCTCGTCTGCATAGGACCACCTTAGTGCGTGTACACACCCACACACATGTGCATGCACACACACTTGCACCATTCTTTCCTGCTGCTTTGAGGTCGGTAGATGGTGAGAGTGGGACATTTTATGGAAGCTGTTGATTTTTCTGTCCTAAAATCAATTCCTTTGGTTTATAACATTCCTAGTTCCCTACTTTAAAACCATTTTATTAAAATGAGATGCCATGGAAAGTACAAAACTGAACAAAATTATCTTGTAGGGTTCTTTATAAACCAGCTATAGCCAAAGGACAGCCTGTCCCCAGGCCTGTTTGACATCCAAATAGAAACTGAGGTGAGACATACTCAAGAAGACCCATAGCCAAAACTCCAACCATCAGCCTGTTTTCCAACATTTCCCCCCAGCACATCATATTCCTGTTCACTGTGCTATAAAAGCAAAAAGCTTTTTGTGAAATTCTAGTTATTTTCTTAAAAATTTTAGGTTTTGTAAGAAAAATCCAATACTACAATTATAAATATTCACATACCAGCAAGCAAACAATGTCCTACAGCAACCCTAGCACATAAGGAAAAAAGCCAGAGATGCCACAGCAAAATTCCAAGAAGTTTCAAATGGCATGAAAAGCTCAAAATGAAACTATGTAATTTTTCCACCCAAAGCAGATACTGCCACAGGAAGAAAAAGAGATTCCTACCAGTATGCACCAACCACAGTAAAAAAAAAAAAAAAAATGCTTGGAGTCTTAACCATGGGCCAGTCCTAGGGCTGAACCCCTCATCCCATAGTTTCTGCTTGGCCTCAGAAGTTTTCCAAGACTCTAATGAGATGGACCCAGGAATTCCATAGGCCCATTAAGACCAGAATGGTCTTCAGTCCCCAAAGCTCATTTATGTCTCAGGTTCTTTGTCTATAAAAGTAGGATACATCAAAGTGTGGGGCTGTTGTGATAAAGTGTTAGTTAACTCATGGTAAAGCATATCTATAAGGGTGCTATCACATCATCAAAGCACTCAATGTTAATTTTTATTGTCACCAGAATTACCCTGAAAGGGACAAGGAGATAAAGGGCAGAGCTGCCACAATTTGTACTATTTCATGTTATTTCCCGCTGTCATCTTTGTCCCTTGTGTTTTCATTTTTGATTGGAAAGGAAACCACTCATTCAAAGAACAGTACTACACAGGAGCACAAACAAGACAGCATTAGTGGACTAAATTTTATGTCTTGGAAGAAAACAGATTAGTCCATCTAACCAACTCAAAAACTCACCAGTATACCAACAAATATCCAGAAATACTTCCCAGGATTAATGCTATCTTTTTTTTTTTTTTTTTTTTTTGTCTTTTTTTGTCTGTTTCCTTTTTATCGGTACCAGGGATCGAACTCATGACTGCCTGCTTGCAAGGCAGGCGCTTATGCCGCTGAGCTAAAGCCCCAGCTCCAATTAATGCTATTTTATAATCCCAATTATAATTATTATAAGCCAGGCATGGTGGTATACATCTGTAATTCCAGCACTTGGGAAGCTGAGGCAGGAGGATTACCGTGAGTTCTAGGTCAGCCTGAACTGTATAATGAAACCCTGCTTTAAAAAAAAAGCTAACACAAAGTTTAAAGAAATGAAATAAAGCCCAGATTCAATTCAATATACCCAGATGTATATATAACATTTCCTTTGAGTTACTGGAAACATGGGGACATACTCAAAGAAATATACAAGTAAAAAACAAAAGCTAAAATTAAAGATATCTCCCTTGACAAGTGATAAAGTTTCTCATAAATAACATACTACTATACCCTCATGTCATCCCACAAATAAACCCAAGTGAAATAATCCAACTTTAGAAATGATTTCAGTTAGCAGGAAACAAGTCTCAATAATCTATTTGTGGGGCTCCAAAAAGAAATCAAGGTCATCCACAAAGGTTAAGGAAATGGAATAAAGGATGAAGCTCTTAGGAAATAATTCAAAGAAAATTAACCTATTAGGTAAATTAACCCAAGGAAAGCTGAACTAGGAAGCACAATAAAGTACAATGCCTTTGGTCCCTCTCTTTCCCTAATTTTGTTCAGTAAACCAGCTATAATTTAAAGACTTCCTGATTCCCTAGGTACACCCTGAACGTGAGTTAAATACGAAGGGTTATCTACCCATGTCACATACTGCCAATTAGGAAAATACCAGTGTTGATACAAGCCTTGAAGTAAAGAAATAAATACACAATGAATTCTCTCAGTCCTTCGAGTTTAACTGTAAATTATTGTTCACCCCCCCCATCTCATCCACTTAGAGATGCTTTATTGGTCATGTGTATATCAGATTGTCAGAAATTGTTATCATTAGCCAAACCTCAGCTTCTTATTCATAGCACTCCAAGGTTTTCAACTGTTTTCTTGCCACCCCCTAAGCCAAGAGAGGCAGATGTTGGTAATTAAGCCTTTGCTAACAAGAACGGGGCTGTCACCTTACTTGTCAACTAGAAGTTTACAGCTTCACTCAGATAGCGTCTGTGAAGCACCTGGTCTCAATCAACCAGGTGTGTCACACCTCCGATAACACAATATACACATGTCACTCTCCTCTGTGTTTTCAAAAGACAAAATCCATCTTCAACCAGGCATTCCCAGGCTGCTCCTAAAGATATGGTTTATATATGTGTAAACAGAAGTTAAATGTGCAGTTTTATGTGAGTGGGGAGAAGGAAGACAGTGGGAAATGGTTCTCCTGCCAAACATAAATAATATTCAAGCAGAATGCTTGGGGCCTAAGAGATTGCACAGTCAGCTCTCAGATCAGAAAGTCTGGGAAATCTCCTCCTCCAGGACTGCATGATGGCCAGCGTTAACCTCGTTACAAACCCCAAGAATGATAATAGACAAGCTGTGAACAACTTGAACCAGGTAAGGAACTCAAGAAGTGTTTAATGGTCAAGGTCAGGAGTGAGGTGATAGTGATTTACAGGACTCGTTCTCTCCCTCCCCTTCCCATCATTTTTAAAGTAAGGGCCAAAAAATGACTTACAGCACATCATGCCAGGACATAGGGCAGGCCCAGCTCCATAGAGTCCTGATCTGAGTTTCTTCAGCCCGTTCAGGCCCTTCCCTTCCTACTGAGGTGGGGAAATTGAAGGTCACCACCTGCGACAGCAGAGCCCCATAACCTGCATCCTCTGATCCCTTGGGACTGGGTTTATTTTTCTCACTCGGGCCCAGCTAGGATGGAACACAGCTTTGATCCTAGTGATTTTTATCTCCTCCCCACCAGAGGGGCCACCACACTTTCTCATCCTCCTTAATTTTGCTTTCCATCATATACCTTTCTTTCGCCACCCAGACACCAATTGCTAAGCACCAGTTCTGGGCTCTGAGGACTCAAGGGTAGGAGCCTCATCTTTGCCTCCAGCAAGCACATAATCCACTTGAGAAGCAGACACATTCTGGAACAAATGAAAATGTGTGCTACTCTAATTGTGAAGTCCAGTTCAGGAAAACTCCAGACCTTCTTCCTCATTTGGCTCTTTCCAAAGTCAGCAGCCAGTGATCTCTCCCTTTACTGTTAATCCTTTCTCTATGACATTTGCAAATTTCTCCTATCCAGACTCCTTGAGTTTACTCTGCTCTCCTCCAGTCCACTTTCCATGTAGCAGCTAAAATGATTGTTACACTGCCTGTGAATGCATCACTATAAACTGATTATATGTGTAACATTAAATTTACATCCCAGGGCTAGCTAGCTAACATTTAAAATACCCAATCATAAATACAACCTCTAGAACCAAACAGTGCAAGAACTTTATTATTATCTAAATCTGCATGAGTCTCTTAATTACACAAACTCATTAATTATATACCAGTGAAACATGCAGTGTTGAAGGACTAGCAATTGTACCTATGTCAGTGTTTAAATAACCTAAGAGTTCAACTGCTATGGCTTGAATGTGTCCCCTCCAAATTCCAGGGCTACCAAAGTGATGGTATTAAGAGGTAGCACCTTAAACATGTCATTATGAAGGCCTTTCCCTCATGACTAGGGTTAGGTGTCCCATAAAGGAGCTTGACGTAAGGAGTTAAGTCCTATTTTTGTCATTCCCCTTTCTGCCGTCTAAGGACACAGGATTCTTCCTCTTTGCAGAATGAATACAGTATTCAAAGTACCATCTTGAAAGCAGAAAATAATCCTCCCAAAATGGAAATGCCTTGATAGAGGAGTTCTGAGCCTCCAGAACTATGAGAAATTAAATTTTTTATACGTTACCCGATCTATAATATTTTGTAATAATAGCACAAAAAAACCTAAAACAGCAGCATACCCAGAAGCCTAGTGCTCCAGTACTAGATAGAACTGTCTTAGGCTCTCTGCCCAATTGTTTGCACGATCTGACAGAAGAAGTTTTTAGCTGATCATTATCCTGGGCACATTTCACTCCGTAGTAACAGGTCTCCCAGAGTACCCGGGGTTGGGCAGTAGGACTTATTCATACCCAAGGGCAAATTATACAGCTGCTTTGGGATGATTTGGTAGCATTTATGCCTATGCTTGGATTTGGCCT